AGCAGCAGGGTGGGACGGACGTGGCCGTGGACTTGTACCTGTACGCTGCTCTCCCCCGTCCTGGCCCTCATCCTCGCCTCCATCTTCGAGAGGCTGTGGGGAGCCGAGGGGGAGTGGCCCAGTTAGCCGGCAGCTGCCGAACTGGCCCGGGAGAGGGGCCCCGCGGAGCAAGCAGCGGTGGGAGCGGGGCTGGAGGCCGGCAGGCAGCAGCTGCTGGTGGGGGATGTCAGGGCTGTCGAGGGGCAGAAGGAGGTGGCTGCATAGAAGCTGGAGAAGGCGGTGGAGGAGCCAGATGGCTGTATATATGTAAGAGCAATGGCATATTGAAAATGTAGAATCTGAGCACGACGTGAAGGGTATGCAATAAGGGCTGGATACTGGTTTAGCAGTAGCAGTCATATTTCTCCTTCTTAGTAGCTGGTTCAGCGTTGTGTTTTGACTTTCGGCCTGGGAACAGAGCTGATAACACCAATGTTTTTAGTTTTTGCAAAGTCATGTTTCCTCTAACCAAGGACTTTGTGAGCCTCATGCTCTGCCAGGGAGGAGGGGAAGCCATGAGGAAGCAGAGACAGGACACCTGACCCAAACTGACCAAAGAGTTATACCTGTGTTATTAAACTGTTCTTATCTCAGCCCATGGGAGTTGCATTCTTTTCGGTTCTCCTCTCTGTCCCGCTGGGAGTAGGGGGAGGTCAAGAAGGCGGGAAGTGAGTGAACGAGCTGCCTGACTGGTTTTAAATCACGACACTTGCCTTGCCTAGCCTTGCCTGACTTGGCCTGGACTGGCCTTGCTTTGACGTGCCTTACTTTCATTGCCTTGCCTTGTAATGCCTTGCCTTGTATTGCCTTGCTGTCCATTGCCTGGACTTGCCTGGCCTTGCCTTGTCTTTTCTGGCCTTGCCTGGCATTGCCTTGCCTTGCCTGGCCTTGCCTTGCTTTGCCATGCCTTGCATTGCCTTGCCTTGCCTGGCCTGGACTCCCCTAGCCTGGCCTTGCCTGGCCTTGCCTTGTCTTTCCTTGCCTCTCATTGCCTGGTCTTGCCTTGCATTATCTTGCCTGGCCTTTCCTGGCATGGCTTGGCCTGCCCTTGCTTTGCCTTGCATTGAATTGCCTTGCCGTACCTTGCATTGCCTTGACTGTCCTGGCCTAGCCTGGCCTTGCCCTGCTTGACGTGGCCTGTCCTGGCCTTGCAGGGCTTTCCTTGCCTTGCTTTGCTTTGACCTTCCTGGTCTGGCCTGGCCTGGCCTTGCCTTGCCTTGCCTTGCCTTACCATGCCTGGCCTTGCCAGGCATTGCCTTGCCTTGCCTTGCCTTCTCTTGCCTCGCCTTGCCTTGCGTCTCCTCGCCATGCCTTTCCTTCCCTTGCCATGCCTTGCCTTGCCTTGCCTTTTCTTGCCTTCCCTTGAATTGACTTCCCTTGCCTTACCTTCCCTTGTCTTGCCATGCCTTGCTATGATTTTCCTTCCCTTGCCATTCCTTGTCTTGCTTTGCCTTGCTATGCCTTGCTTTGCTTTGTCTTGCCTGGCCTTCACTTGCCTTGTCTTGCCTGGCCTTCCCTTGCCTTGCCACGCCTTGCCGTGCCTTTAATTCCCTTGCCATGCCATGTCTTGCCTTCCCTTTTCTTACCTTGCCTTCCCTCGCCTTGCCATGTCTTGCAATGACTTTCCTTCCCTTGCCATGCCATGCCTTGCCTTGCCTTCACATTGCCTTGCCTTGCCTAGCCTCGCCATGCCTTTCCTTCCCTTGCTTTTTCTTGACTTGCCTCGCCTTGCCTCGATTTGCCTTGACTTGCCTAGCCTCGCCTTGCCTCGCCTTGCCTTGCCTCACTATGTCTTTATTTCTGTTGCCCTGCCTTGCCTCGCCTTGCCTCGACTCACCATGAATTTCCTTCCCTTGCCTTGCCATGCCTTGGCTTGCATTGCCTCGCCTCGCGTCGCCTCATGTCGCCTCACCTCGTGATGACTTTCCTTCCCTTGCCATGCTTTGCCTTGCCTTGCCTTCCATTGCCTCGCATCGCATCGCTTCGGGATGCCATTCCTTCCTTTGCCATGCCTGCCTTTCCTTGCCTTGACTTGTCTTGCCGTGTATTCCCTTGCCTTGCCATGCCTTGCCATGCCTTTCCTTCCCTTGCCATGCTTTTCCTTCCCTTGCCATGCCTTGCCTTGCCTCACCTTGCCTGGCCTTGCCTGGCTTTGCCTTGCCTTGCCTTGCCTGGCCTGGCCTGGCCTGTCATGGCCTTGCCTGTCCTTGCCCTGCCTTGCCTAACCTTGAGCTGCATTGCCTTGACTTGCCTTGCCTTACCTTCAGTTTCCTTGCCTTGTCTTGCCTTGCCAATTCTTGCCTTGCCTTGACTTGCCTTCCCTAGCCTTGCATTGCCTTCCCTTGATTTGCCTTCCTTTATCTTGCATTGCCTTGCCTTGCCTGGCCTTGCTTGACACAGATCTCTTGCTGTGTCATGTGCACTTGCCAGTTACTGAGGAAAGCATCCATGGGCTGGGAAAGGAAACAGCTCAGGAGGGAATTTTTAGTTAGTTGCTGATCTTCCTGGTAAATCCTGTAGGGCTCTAGCATCTTGTTCCATATTTTCCGTGGTCACTGGAAAAAAAGTATTTCATTTTGTACTTCCCTGTGTTCCAGGAGAAACAGCAACAAGGGCCTCCCCTTGTGCCACAGCTTGTGACACTGGGCAAGACGTGACAAGAAAAACAGCTGGGCTGGTACTTGTGGAGAAGCCTGTGGCCTGTAGAGCTTCATCAGGGACAAGGACAGGTTTCTGTGTAAGCACTGACTCAGTTCAGCCCAGATGTGCTGTAGTGAAGAGCAGCACCCCTCGCTGCCCTGTGCGGAGTCGGGGCTGGGGTGCGTGCTCCCCACCCTTCTCTCCTGCCTCCTTTGTCTGCAGTGAAACAGAAACTGTGTTCTCTGAAGAAATTCTTTCCGGTGAGGGTGGTGAGACACTGGAATGTGTTTCCCAGAGAAATCCCGCGTGCCTCTTGTGAAACTGTTTAGGATTTAGGGAATGACTGATCAACCTGAAAGAGCTCCTGGGATGAGCAGGGAGTATCCAACTTTCCTGATCTCTGTGCGCTGCTCCCACCTTTGCCAGGCAACCAGAGCTCCTGGTGCAGCCAGGGAGCAGCCAGCAGCCAACTACCCACCTCTTGCCACTGTGCCAACAAACAGAGTAGTGCTGAATTCTAGTTATAAATTCAGGGTGATGTTTGGTTGCTTAACTCAATTGTTAAGAATTTCTTAAATTGGTTTAAGTACAATTCTATATATGGACAGGTTTCTGCATCAACATAACTTGTTCAGCTGATTTCTATGATCTAATGTATAGCAGAATGTTTAACAACAAACTGAATAGGATATAAATTAGTGAAATTATGGGAGGATGTAAAATTCAACTTTAAAGCCCCAGTTGCTGTTGGTGACCATCCAAGCAGGGTATCCCACCAGAGATGTTCTCATGCCCAGTGTGTGGACTTCCCAGAGATAGGTTAATGGTTGGACTCAATGTTCTCAAAGGGCCATTTTCAAATTAATGGATTGATTTTAGGAAACAAAGATTTTTAGCCTTAAATCTTTGTATCATCAGGCTGTTTCCCATGGTGTTTCCCTGGAGCCCCAGGGAGCCCTGGAAGGAGCCCAGGGGGGCAGAGGCAGAGCCACCTTGGGCTGGGCCTCTGCTGCTGAGCTGGGACCGAGGGGAGACCTGCGAGACACAGGGAGCTTAAAGGCACTTGGCAGTGGAGGATGCTGAGGAGGAGGAACCTTCTGAAGGAGAAACCTTCCCTGCCCTGTCTGTGGTAAGGCACTGGGTGCAGGGCAATGCAGCTGCAGTTTCTCTCTGTGTAGATAAGGAGGAGGATGTGCTGCAGAGCAGGGCTTCCCCCCGCACCATGCAGGGGCAGGACAAGGCAGGTCCCTTGTCCCGGGGCTGGCTGCAGGGTGTGAATGTGGGTGTGCAGGCAGGGGTGCCCAGCGCTGCCCTTGCAGCAGGGTCCCTGCAGCCCAAAGGCTGTGTGCAGGGGCAGGGATTCTGCTGCCTGCCAGGGTCAGCACTCGGCCTGCCCGGGATCTCCTCATGGAGCTCGGGGGAGCTGAGGGGAAGGGAACAGCCCCTGGCAGGGAAGGGAAGTGTTGGGTGGGTGACGCTGCTCCAATCTGCCGTCACTCTGAGCACTTCTTCAGAGGGTCCTTCTGAAAGACACTGAGGCATCATTTACCTGATAGGGAAGGATCCTGAGCTTTGATGGCTTTCCCTCTTGGAGGGCAGGTTGGGCAGTGGGAGCTGGGAATTTACTTCTCTGCTTTGGGGGAGGCACCGAGAGTCTTGTGAGGGCTTGTGTGAGCTGCTCCTGAGCCCCTGCACAGGCAGGGGTGTGCAGGGCAGAGCTGAGCACACAGCCCATGGCATGGGCTCTGGGAGCACTGAGAGGGAGCAGAGCTGGGCACAGAGCAGCAGCTCCTGGCAGGGACAGCTCCAGGCAGCAGAGATATGGATGGGCAGGGAGTGCGGGGAAAGTGCAGCCCAGCCCTGGGGAGGGTGCGTTCAGGCAGCTCTCTTGGGGTCTGGCACTGGAGGTGGCTGCTGGCCGTGCTCTGCTGCCCACAGCCCTTTGCTTCTCAGCATGAGAGCTCTGTGGACTGTCCTTTGAAACCGTTCTCCCCTGGTCTCAGCACAGGACAGATATTTCTTGGGCATTTAAGATCAGTGTGTGTGAAGGCATCTTAGAGGCAGTGCAAGTGTAAGCACAGGGCAAATGGGAAAGCAGTGATGGACACTGAAGCTCTCTAGGCTATGTACTGAGCTGCAAGGAACTGAGGCTTTTTGCCTGATGCAATGCTCTTCTGATTGTATGTATGAAGAAAGCCCAGCAATATAATGCCATCACTGGAGATGACACTGAGCGTCTCCTGTCCTATAATGTGCTCAGTCGTGTGTAAACTGAACTTCTGTATCTGACATCCCTCCTGTCCTAACCTCTCACTGCCTTTTTCTCCTCTGACGGTGCCCCATGCCCAGAGGCAGCAGATGTCCAACGGCAGCTCCATCACCCAGTTCCTCCTCCTGCCATTCGCACACACGCGGGAGCTGCAGCTCTGCCACTTCTGGCTCTTCCTGGGCATCTCCCTGGCTGCGCTCCTGGGCAACGGCCTCATCATCACCAGCACAGCCTGCGACCAGCGCCTCCACACCCCCATGTACTTCTTCCTCCTCAACCTCTCCCTGCTGGACCTGGGCTGCATCTCCACCACTGTCCCCAAATCCATGGCGATTTCCCTCTGGGACACCAGGGCCATCTCCTACACAGGCTGTGCTGCACAGCTCTTTTTTGTTCTCTTTTTCATTTCAGCAGAGTATTTTCTCCTCACTGCCATGTCCTACGACCGCTACGTGGCCATCTGCAAGCCCCTGCACTATGGGACCCTCCTGGGCAGCAGAGCTTGTGTCCACATGGCAGCAGCTGCCTGGGGCAGTGGCTTTCTCACTGCTCTGCTGCACACAGCCAATACATTTTCACTGCCCCTGTGCCGAGGCAATGCTGTGGAGCAGTTCTTCTGTGAAATCCCCCAGATCCTCAAGCTCTCACACTCCTACCTCAGGGAAGTTGGGCTTCTTGTGGTTGGTGTCCTGATTGCTGTTGGCACTCCTACCTCAGGGAAGTTGGGCTTCTTGTGGTTGGTGTCCTGATTGCTGTTGGCTGTTTTGTTTTCATTGTGGGGTCCTATGTTCAG